GAAAAGAAAAGAAAGGAAAGAAAAGGGAAAGGAAGAGAAAAGAAAGGAAAGGGAAAGGAAAGGAAAGGAAAGGAAAGGAAAAGGAAAAGGAAGGGAGAGGGAAAGGGAAAAGGAGAGAAAAGAAAGGAAAGGAAAGGAAAGGGAAAGGAAGAGAAAAGGAAAAGGAAAGGGAGAGGGAAAGAGAAAGGGAAGGAATAGAAGTAGAGCGTTTCTCTGGGCATCTGATGCAGGGTGGGTTAGCTAACCAAAATGTATGCTGTTGAATAAAATTGGTTGGCCAGAAAAGGTGTTATTAGATTCTTGCTGATACAGGGGCCACGGTAGGCTGTTCTCCTGAAGCTCCTACTCAGATGTCAGTGACTCTTTGTTTTACTCATTCTGTTTTTGCTTTAACCGGGCTGGATTTCCTATTTAAAAAAAAATTAGCATATTGGTGTCTGAATCCTGTCCTTTCGTTTTCTAAACCCCAACAGATGGTTCTGCACTTGGCCAGAAAGAAAAATGCTTCCTACAATGTGCTAATAAAGGAGAATATTTGTAACTCAGGGTTGAAACGAGGGGTCCTTGGTGCTCTCTGAACCTGTTTGTTTTCTCAGAGACGTTTCCTTACCAAACTAGGTAACATCATCAGTGTTGCAAGGCAGTGAGATTTGCAGAGAGGAGGAGGAGGAGGAGGATGAAGAGGAGGAGGAGGGCTGTGGAATCCTTGGTGCTCTCTGACCTTGCTTGTTTTCTCGCAGACATTTCATTACCAAACTAGGTAACATCATCAGTCCCGAAAGGGAGTGAGGTTTGCAGAGAGGAGGAGGAGGAGGAGGAGGAGAGGAAAGGGGGAGGGGGAGGACAACGACTATGGGGCCCTTGGTGCTCTCTGAGCTTGCTTGTTTTCTTGCAGACGTTTCATTACCAAACTAGGTAACGTTATCAGTGATCACCATGTTCCTTGAATGTAGTTAAATTGAATTGCAATGAAAGGACAGTGAGAATAATTTTCTTCTCTTGCTACTTGCACTTCAGAGGACAGGATTGCATGCTTCCAGGGCAGTGCAACACACTTCAAAGGCGAAGGGGTTTGGTCGCCTGAAACCCAACAACCACACGTATTCCTAGCTTAGTATGGAAACACAGAACTTGTATGCTTGGAAACTTACTTTACTACCAGGGAAGCATGAACAAACCTATGGGTACAGTTGTGCAATGAGCTGAAC